ACGATAGATTAATAAAGAAGCTAATTTTAAACTGAACTGATATTTTGTTTAAAAAAAATTTATTAATGAAAGTAACGTAAAATAAACTTTCTAGTCGATTTGGGGGCCCCCCTGATGTCGGGGCCCGGGGCGGCTGCCCCGCATGCCCCTGCCTTTGTCAGGCTCTGACTCACAGCGACTGCTACTAACTTCTACAGGAACTCATAAATTGCATTATTTCCAGTATGAAATCCCGCAGTGAGGCCTGTTAACATGTACAAGAAGGCCATACCTCCTTTCCCCAATAAGCCATTTTTTTTAAAGTTTATTTCTGTAACCACACTTCGATTGCAATCGTGAATATCTTTTTCGAATGAGAAAGTCCTTAAGCAGTGATGCGCGCAATGAAGTCCTGATTCTGCTTCGACTAAAATAAATGCAGTGAGAATTGATCTAAAAAAAAAAAGGGATCTATTGGCTCAATCTTTAGTCGGGCAAAAATATGCAGTAGGAAGTTGCTTTTGAAACAATAAAACATGGTAAAGTGTTGTTATCTTAGAAGTTGTTATATTAGTCCAAAAGATTTATAACGTACTTTTATTGTGAACATTTATCATTAGAAGTCTGCCTGTTTTGCTATTTTCATAATGAGTAGCTAATTATTAGGCAATTTTCTCTGTTTTATTTTATGCTTCAACAATTGCTCGGTTTCATTTCGGTTGTGATATAGAGCTCATTACATTGTCATTTATCATAGACATAGTATTTATTCACATAAATACATAACATTAAATGCTAATAATTGATAAAAGTTTTATTTTGAATTGCCTAAAAATATTCTTAAATTTTTGTTATTTCTTCAGGAGTTTGTTTAAGTCCCTTAATTGTAATTCCTGAGTAGACAAAAATTTATACAATGGAAGATTCTAACAGTAACTCAAGTGAAAGAACGGAAAATCTTTCTGATAACTCTACTAGTAACGTAATAAACACTAATAATAATGATTTATCTAATTCAGAGGCGTTTCATAATAAAACCTCTTCTGATAACTCTAATAATTCTATAGATACTTATGAGATGCCTCCTAATAAATGCCTTTCTGATAACTCTGCGAACAACATGACGAATTCTAATAATAATTCTTTAGATAATTCAGAGGCGTGTCCTAATAACAGTGAAGTGCAAATTAAAAAGACATCAGAGCTAGATAACAAAAAAAGTAAAAACAAACACTTGTGTGAGATTTGTTCCAAATATTTTAGTTCGACAAATGTACTAAGGCAGCATACTAAGCTGCATTTTAATATTCTACCATTTGTTTGTAAAGTGTGTGACAAAAAATTCAGTCGTAAATACAAGTTAAAAGTACATTCACTCGTTCACACTGGGGAAACTCCATTTTCTTGTGACCTCTGTGATCGGCGTTTCCGAGAAAAGAGTGCATTAAATCGTCACTTAACTTCTCATTCAAGTGACAGAAAATTTTCTTGCAAAATTTGTCATAAAACATTCAAACGTTCAGAAGCACTCAAGTCCCATTCATATACTCACACAGACAAAATGCCTCATGTTTGTGAAGTTTGCAACAAAGGTTTTGTCGATAAGGTGAAATTAAATTGCCATATGATAGTTCACACTGGCGTTAGTCCTTATAAGTGTGAAAAGTGTGGGAAATACTTTAAACGGTGTGCGTCACTACGAATTCATATTCAAACTCATTCGGATGAAAGACCGTATGTTTGCGATATATGTAAATGTAGTTTTAAAAGAGAGGATACGTTAAAAGTCCATTATCGGGTACATACGGGAGAAAGACCCTATCAGTGTGACATGTGTGATAAAGGGTTTAGCGATGTATCTAAACTCAAGCTGCATAAATTAGTGCATACTGGTGAAAGGCCACATAAATGTGAAACATGTGGAAAGACTTATCAACAAAAAGGTTATCTAGTCTATCATGCTGCTACCCATACGGGGGAGCGGCCGTTTGCATGCACTCTTTGTGATAAGTCGTTTCTGCGGCCGGGAAAGCTCAGAACTCATTTATCCAAAGTTCACGCAATTGATAATCCTCAAGTGAGTGATGCATGTGGGAAAACGGATCGTAAATCTCGTACAAACAAAATATCTCTAGAGCAAAAATCTCGTGTGAAAGTTGAGAGCGTTGAAAATGAGAACAAACCTGATGCTCACGTTCCTTAACGCATTATATTAGTGATTATATTTAATGTTTGATGATATTATCATTATTTTCATAGTAATTGCATTTTATAGTGCTTAAAACAATAAATTTTATAAAAGGTAACGAATGAAATTATATTAATAACTTATTGTTTAGATAATAAAATAATTATAACCATATTTAAATCTTTTGGGTATTATCAGATTTTGTTCTGATTCTTATCAGCGTATACCTACAAATACCTTTATTCCCCGTTGTATGAATTTTATAATTTTTTGATATTTTACATATTATATGTTTTGTATTATCTGACATAAGAAATTCAATTGCAGTGTAATTTATTATTGAATGTATTTTATTTATTGCTCACAGTGTGTTGTGCATTTTTATATAAATATTTATGCATGAATGTGATACTTTTTTTTAAGCGATGGTTGCAACATATTATTATGACCTTACATTAGCATTGGGCTGAGACTTTATCATTTCTAAAGAAAATTTTCCACTATTTCTTGATAATAATAATTGCNATATATATATATATATCGGTTTTGTTTTAAACTTGATAGCTGGCGTAAGAAAATCCATTTGCTAATTTAATGGACACAATATTATTTTAATGTGCATTATAATAAGTGAATTGATTGCTTATTCCAATTTAGAGCATAAAAAAATATTTTTTCCTTCATTAAAAAAAAAAAAAATCTTTAGGGAAAGATTTATTTGCAATAAAGTTTCAAAGAAATTTTTCCAACTATTGTTTTGTTTGATGTTACCATTAGAATGAACAGCTTGAGTAATCGAAGCATTGCAAGACTTCCCTTTGTTTTTTTTAAAAATATTTTACTGTTAATAAAAAGAAAATTATTATAGTAAATTTATAGTAATTTCTTGCACCATCTTCAGAAATCAGCTAGGCGAGAAATTAAGACAATTTAGTCACTGAACCATGAGACCTGTAACTAAAAGACAAAACTAGTTTGTACACATTTTTATTTGTTTGTTTATATACAGTAATTATTAAAAATTTTTTTTTTAAAGTTATCAAAGTGAATTTAATTGAATAATTTTGGTTCCATGACTATGCAATTTTCACAATTATGATGAAATATGCTATTTTATGAGAAAAACATGAGGGTAAAAATAAGTAAAATGACGCAGCAAAAAATTTCTTTACATTGTTTGCTGTTCTGTCAGGCCACTGACCCTATTATAGTAATCTGAATGAAATTTTAGTGATACCAGACCAATGGATTCACTTGTTTGTTTACATATATTAGTTTTTTTTTTAAAAAAAGGTGACAAAGTGAATTTAAATCAACATTTCTGTTTAGTGTAATTTTCACAATTATGATGGAATATGCTATTTTGTGACAAAAACGTAAGAGTAAAAAAAAATAAAGTTATACAGCATAGCATTCCTTTGCATCGATTGTTGGTCTGTAAGGCCACTAATCATTTTATTCTGGTTTGAGTGAAATTTTAGTAGTCCCAAACCAATAGACCACTGTTAATTTTGAGCCTTATTCTGCATGATATTTTGCTTTTATTTGATACATGTTTTATAACAGTGGTTACCAACTGGCAGCCCGCGGGCCGAATCCGGCACACAATGCCTTTTTTCGTGGCTCGCGATATATTAGTTGTTATTTTTTTTTATGGACAATTTTCGTATGGGTTTAAAATGCTTTTCTTTCATTTAAAAATAAACTAATTTCTTGGTTTCTGTAAAATTTAACATATCAACAGTGCAAAAAAATTTTTTTTCTCAGGTTTTGAATCCAAGAAAATATTTATTACTATTTGTAATTCAATACTTTTATTTTGTACAACTTTGTTAAAAATCTGACAGTAATATTTAATGTTCCTTCAAACATTAAAGAGTCCTATATAAATTTTTGATAAAGTTGCGGCCCTCCATTTGACTGGTGTTTTTAATTGCGGCCCCTGGCCTCATGGAAGTTGGAAACCCCTGTTTTATAATATACATTTATTATCTTGGATGTAACTCTGATGCTGGAAATCTGAGTGACATATTATCTGCATTGAACAAACTGCTTTATTAGATGCTTTTTTTTTTTTTTTAAATTTACATTTTCTAATTTCTTTTCTAAGAGAACAATAATTTTATCATATTTTCCTGTTTTGAAATTATAGTTATTTATCAGACCTCAAAAATGAATTATATGTGGGATGTTTATATTTGATTTACATGTGGTATTATTCTCTTCTTTTAGTTTTACTGTCTCATTGTAGTTTGGGTCTTGCAGGCATTTAACTTTGAGTTGGACAAAATTGAAGTACTCAATTACAACAGTTCTCAAAATTTCATTGATGAAAGAAAAACAAATAAAAATGCGAAAGAAACTTTTTTTGTCTACGAAATGTCTGCAAAATGGTTAAAACTGTTTTTGTTTACTTTCTCAGCTTCTTTTAAACTAAGCCAATTTGAAATTGATGACTCACAAATTATATTTTTCCTCTGAAATATGAATGATTGGGACTTTTTGAGTTTTCTTGTTATTGAGAAATGACATATATCCACTGCCCACCTCACCATTGATGTCTATGCATTGTAGTTCCTTTAAAAATTATTCGACAATGTTTTTTTTATTTTTATTAACCCACTGACGGTTCTGCACTTAAAAAGTCGCATTTTAACCTGCAGTCTTCTCTGCATAGCAAAACCGGTTTTCCCATGTTAACTGATAGGGGAACTGTGTGTAGGGGAGAAACATTCTTCCAATTTTGCCCATTTCCTTAACCGCCAGTGGGTTAAATCTTGAATACTTGTGTTTTTTTTCTTCAACCACTGTTAGTAAGTCAACTGTAAATGAATTTTTGTTTACAAAAGATAAATGTATTATTTTATATTAAAATTAAACAAAACAAGTTCCAGTAATCTTGTTTATTACTAATTTGTCTGTTTTAAGTATTTAAAATATTTGCTTTATAAACTTTTTTTAAAATTAGGCAAATCTTTTTGCATATTTTTGTACACTTATGTTTTATCAACAATTGTTTAGATAGCAGGGATCATTAATATTATGTGTTGCATGTACATAATAAACCGTCTATTAATCCTCCATTTAAGACAACCATATTAAGACTTATATTTTTTTCATGCAGCAAAATTTTCTTTTAAATTGAAAGTAATTTAAGGAAACACTATATGGTTAAAATACAATACATCAAGAGCAGGGTTGGCAGGTTTTTGACATGTG